GCCGGTACCCACCGCGCCAGAGTGGATCCAGGCACCGACACAGAGGCCCGGGCCCCCAGGCCGCACCCCCCCCTAGGCCAAGGCTCGATAGGACCAGAGGGACCCCAGCCCCACCGGGCCGAGCCGGCACACGCCCAAGCACCCAGCCCCGGACAACGAGAGCCACCAGCGCGCCGGCGGGCAAAGGCACAACCCACCAGAGGACAGCACTTTACTGTAACTCTCAACACCTCTCCAGTCGTTGAGGAATCTTCCACAAGGCATGATGCTTTAATGACACATATGTAAAATCTAAAATTTAAGCTGTTATATACAAATTGTTGTACCTGGAGTCTTAACAGTACAAAAAAATGTTGAATTTATTCTCTCTGTGCTGCATAATCTTTGTATTCTGTAGTGCTGTAGTCAAGACCACCTAACCCGAGACCAAGTCAAGACCAAGACTAGATAAGAAAAGTGTCTTAAAAGATGGAGTATTCTGTACACATCCACAGTGTGTGTGTGTGGGTATTTAGTCTCTCATAGTTGAGTCTTAACTATGATGTCAGTCACAGGCCTCTCTCATCTTTTTAAGTGGGAGAACTTGAACAATTGGTGCTGACTAAATACTTTTTCTCCCCACTGTAGAAAAACTTAATACGTAGAGCTAACATTGACTAAATGTTTGTGTGAGGGCAGAGGAAAGAGTTTTGTTACAGAGGCAGATTGTTAACGTTACTGATGGTAAAAGTTTAAAGTTGACCCCACTGTCTCTGAAAGTGAAGCACTGCTGAACGTACAAGTTTCTGTACGCTTTCTCCTCGTTGTTGTTGTTTTACAATGATATTTATGAATAATGTAGTCAAACTTTTTTACTTAAAATTTTGAAGACCCCTCCCACCACTGTTCACTTTCCTGGAGTACTGTGTGTGAGTGAAGAAAGTGGGGATGGGTGACAGCCCGTAACAAAAATACATAAAAAGCAATGAGTTTGGATTTGAATCAGTATGTTTTAAATCCAATGAAAGCAAGAATGTTAATTAATAAATTAGACAATAATCTGTCTGTTTAGTGATATTTCCACAGTAGTGCTCTTGAAATAAAACTCCAAGTCCTCAATGTCTGAGACCTAGACAAGACCGAGTACAAATGCTGTTGAGTCTGAGATGAGACGAAGACCATCAAAAAGGGGTCTTGAAACCGATCTTAAGACCAAGACCGGCTTCAAGTACTACAGCTAGGGCTGCCACGATTAATCGACGACTAATCGATTATTAAAATAATCGATGACTAATTTAATAACCGATTAATCGTTTTCCTTTTTTTTGTTCTTTACTTTGTTTTTCTCTCCAAACTGCTTTGACACCTTAAAAAAACTTGTTTAAAGTCAACGTAGGCTGGTAAGAATATATTAAACATGAATAAATTGCATCTTCTTAAACATAGAACATGTAACCCTTTTTTGTTCATCTGCAGTTAAGAAAAACTTGTCTCTATGATGTAAATTTAGAAATGATGTCTTTGTTTCCAGTCTCAGCCAGGAAAT